AAAAGGGGGAGTCAGTAGGTGAAGGGCCTCATTCATGAGGTCAAAAGCAGAGGTTTGGAGTGGGGCGAGTGTAGAACCAGGAGGTATGCCAAGTGTAGAAGAACCATTTGGGTAAGGTGATCAACAGGTCTCCAGATCGATCCAGTGGTTTAGACATCAACGACCTTTCCCTTCAGCTTCGAACGTGATGTTGATGTCACGGACCTCACAGTCCAGCCCAAAACGCGCTTTGGACACCACCGACCGACCAACGGCGGGTCGCCCCCCCACGGTCCCACGGCGCGTCCCGACCGAGTTATGGAGCCGTTTCCCACCTCTAAGAGGCCGGGGGTACGCGGCGTGCGGATGCACCGGAGGGGGAACCGGGTGTGGACTGAAGGAACTGAAGGGGTGCCGGCCCAGTGAACTGGGGGGGGGGTGGAACCTCGGAGTTGGGCTGATCAACTAAAACGGTGTTTCAAACATAATTGGATTATATTGGATTTCATGAATTTAGGATGATCTATGATAAACATCGTAAGTGTTCGGGTGGGCCCATGGGTGATTTGGGTGAGTTGTATTGCTGGTTACCACAAAATCCGTCGAATAGGGTCTTCTTGCTTGTCAGACCCGAACTTGAGCTTCCTTTTTGAACTAGCTTTCGATCGGTATCCTTGGTATTTTAAGTATTGGCAATTTGAGCTTTCATTTGTTTTCCTACCTCAGCAGTTTCCCGTTTGCAGATGTCCAGGGCTGCCCTGCTTTTTGCCTCCGCCGTTGGGCGGCTTTGTCTCAACATGAGCCACCGTCCCGCCAGTTAAGGTCACCTGGCATGCATGATGACGGCAGCTTTTGTATGTAGCTTGCCAGCTCCTCGCTGACACCCGGCCCTTCATAGCAAAAAGATACAAAAGGCATGTGAATGAGCTTCAGGAGATGTTTCAGAAGCATATGACAGACTCAACAGGCACATGCCTTGTAACATGTTCAAGAAGTAGATATAAGTCCAATCCAAAGATAATCACAAGATATCACAAGTTCTATTTTTGTTGCATTGTCCACCTTCATTCTACGGATCTCTGCTGCTTGTCCGAGTATTAGACGGTTGCCAACGTTCCCTTCTGAACGGACCATCATCCAAGGGGTTCCCTTGGGGCCCCCCGCCTTACCTGGTGGAGTCAGAACGTGCATTTTATGACCAATCAAATCAAGCAGTTGGTTTCCACGAAAAGCACAGCACATTCATCTTGACACTGTCTGGATGTTTTTCTTTCAGGAACGTCAGAGTGTATGAATGTTTATATATTTATATACAGTAATATATATATATATACCTGGAGCCTGAGTGACCTCTGTTTTGATAGGAAAAGACCATATTTTGGATAGTTGATCCTCCAAAATAGAGGTCACTCAGGCTCTAGGTACATATGTGTTTATACAAGGATCTTTTTGCGAGATGCTTTGGGTTTGGCTCTGTTGCGGGAGCCACCTGAAACCGTATGGAGAGACGGGCCCCTGTGTAGCAAGAGCGAGATCGGCGAGGCAAGCTGAAGGTAGCGGATGCCAAGCCGAAAGCTGAAGAGTTCCGCAGGCAGATTTTCCTGCCCGCCCGAGTGTGCGTAGGCAGCTTTTGTGTATAGAAGTCTCCAATCACGAAGCAAGATCTGAACACATGGCCATGATTCACAGGTGAGTGCGACCTAAAACAATATTCTAGGGAAACAAGGTTTGGGATGATCTTGTTCTATGAGTCTTGTTCATTTCATGTTTGCTTTCCTAAGGTGACTGGGTACCCAACCTTGTGCCATGACCGAGGTGAGTGAAAATAGGCGGAACGAGACTCATCCAATGTCACCTGCGAGTCTAAAGGGAGAGGAAAAAAAGGAAACCTAATAGCGATGGCCTCCAACCTAATAGCGAATAGAAAAAAAACTACCAAAGAAGATGTTTCGAGCCTATTAACGCCTGGAACAAGTCTAAAAGGATCCTCTCACTTTTACCACATGGACCAGGCCCCTTTTACAAAGCATGAACTCCCCACCCCCAGCGCCAGGGGGTGCCTTGGTGCCTTCCAGGTTTGTTCCAGGAAGGGGAACAATCTGTTACATCCAACCTTGCTCTTCTCATTTCCAATTTGAAACGTACTGTGTCACTCGGATTTCCATTTCCTGGTTGCTTGCTTGCCTTTGTGTTTGGACCGTGATGTGCCACAAACAGTCCATATCTCAGGAAATAGTTTGCCATGGACACTGTGGAATTAGAAGAATCCAAAAGCTTGTTTGAGGTGAACAGAAGACCCCAACGCACCCTCGCAAGCAGTGATTTCCATTCGTGCTTCCCTACTCACAATCGATTACTTGGGTGAGCTCAGTCTCACTACGGACATGCGCATGCAGCTCTTTTCTCGAAACCGCCAAACCTGTTCCAGATCTTTGGGTATATCTAAAAAATAGCAAGACCAGTAGATCATAGTAGATTCGGAGATCCATCATGTAACAGTTCCCCATCCACACTCAGCTTGGCCAGAACAAATAAGCTTAGAATACCTCAGGGCTGGAGACTTTACACCAAATTCGCTGTCAGCCCGTCGAATATCCGCGGGATGCTCCGGAGCTGCCAGCCAGTGACGCGAGATTGGGTGTCTTACATCTCAAGGATCCACCTTGTAGGTTGGAGGCCATCGCTCTTAGGTTGGATGCCATCGCTCTTAGGTTGGAGGACATCGCTCTTAGGTTCGAGGCCATCGCTTAAGTTGGAGGCCATCGCTCTTAGGTTGGAGGCCTTCGCTACTAGGGTGGAAGCCATTGCTATTAGGTTGGAGGTCATCGCTCTTAGGTTGGAGGCCATTGGTCTTAGGTTGGAGGCCATTGCTATTAGGTTCGAGGCCATTGCTCTTTTTTTGTTGGAGGCCATCTCTTCTAGGTTGGAGGCCATCGCTCTCAGGGTGGAGGCCATCGCTCTTAGGTTGGAGGCCATCTCTCTTTGAATTCCTACACTGCCGAATTGGATCCCTAAGCTGATCATTGGTTAGAAGTTTTTCCAACTTGGACTCAAACGCTGGTCTGATTCTGTTAGAACAGCAAATTTGCTTAGCTCTTGTATGAGACACAACGTGCAATGCCATGATTTGGAGAGGTTTGATGAGTTTAGGATAGTTTAGGTATGTTTCACGACTAGCAACTAACTGGGATCATTTCAACCTCCAGAAAAAGGAGTACCGCAGTCTCTGCATTGGACTCTGGGATGAGTTTGAAGCCGAAGCATCGATTTCTGCCGTTGATTGCGGCTTCAGGTATTTTGTAAACCAGTTTGATTGATAGCAAGTATTTTTCAAGACTTGGGAGAAAGCGCAGTTGCACTGGCTGGGTATGTATTGGTACAGCTTTCTCTTGATGACTGATGTGGAGGTCCCCTCGGACCTCACGACGTTGTCTTTGCGATTTTCAGTGCGACCTAGTTCGCCCCAAAAGAAGGAATGCTTTGCTGCTTGGCCGAGAATACACTGGCAAGATCGTGGCAAGCTTCATGGGATATGCAGATCGATCCAATCTGCAGTCCTTTTCTTGTCAGATTCCATCATGCATCCATGGGCATTCAAACAGTCTCGACTGAGTTTTCTTCTGTGCGAGCTTTTGAACTCGATATAACTTATTGGGCACTTGATTTGGACAGACCATATCATGCTTACAACTTACAACAACCTAAACCTTTGGATGACAAGCGTTGTACAGCAAGTCTTCGTGAAAGGTCCTTCTGATAGCAGCATGTTGAGTCAACGTCATTGACGGCTTGTTCTTCGAGTCCAGCAGATTGGATCAGCTGCAGACCACACCCTGTTCTTTCGCCAATTCAGAGGCAACTCCTCCTCGATGCTGGGTTCTGCGGTGTTCGCACTGACAACAGCTTAAGATATTGTTTTGAGTCATTTAGTCATTGCCTTATATCTTCGGTTGTGGATGTTTGTGTTGTTCACAGACCTAGATCAAGGTAAGTTGAACTAGCGCCCAAAAATGCAACCACCAAGTTGCAGGTATTATATATCATATTATACAAATAGTAGCGTCCTTGCTCCTAGTAGCGATGCCCTTTGTTACCAGTAGCTTCTCGTTACTAGTAGTAAGGCCAGGAGCGCCCCTAGTAGCGTCGGATCGCTCCTAGCGTTAATATCAGACTCGGGAGTTTCGCCGTACTTGCACCATGCGTCGCCAACGTTTCAATGACCAGTCTTTTTGAGGATGTTCCGGGATACGCTGGCATCACGCGTCTGACTAATACTGCTTCATGCGAGGTCAATGTGAAAGGGAGCGTTGGACTGGCAATCACACAGCAATGATCAGGAACATGTTTTGGATGGTCTCTTTTAGCTTGTATAATCTTGTCGATAAACAATAGACCATCAATGTCCCCTTGATGTTCCTTCCATTATATATAAATAGACACCCGATGGACCGGTCTGTTTCATAAACTACGACGTCCCATGCACGTTCCTGAAAGGGTTGTAGCGATGCACTGCGGGTTTCCAAAAAAAAGGCCCAGCATGGGTCGCCGAGGGCGGCCGATGTACAGAAAACCCGGAATCACGTTCCTGCAGGAAAGGTCGGGTCGCAAGATGGAGGTGGAGGGGCGCTTGATGTGGGTTAGCTTGCGAGATCCAAGCGCAAGGTATCAGTAAGTATGTATTACTACATATTGGTGTGGATCCACCGGCTGTTCAGAATCCACAATCTTCCCTATTTTCTTGATCTCTACACCTGGTGTGGTCTCCGGGTGTGGAGATCGGGTGCTTGGAGACTACAAAATGCACTGAGATTTAATGAGATTTGCTGTTTCTTTCTTTTTCCAGGATGGGGCCTTGGATGCTTGGATGCTTGGGTCTTGTTTTAGATCCTCACTGATTGTGAGTGTGGATCTATGAGCCAGGGGTATGGCATCAGTACAAGACATTCAGAACACCCCCGGTCTCCCGGTCCTTTCGCTCGTGGCTCACGCCGCGTAGCGGTGGATCCGTCGGATCGTCTCAGGTGCACCGGATTGGACGGACGGGCCGCGCAGGGAGGAAAGGCACCTCGCTGACCTTCTGGAACGAGGTGCCCAAAGCGTTTTTTTTTTTTGGTTAATGGTTTTCAGTAACAAGTGCATCGCGACCCGAACGGAGCGATCAGACTGTCTCAAAACAAACTGAGAATAAATGTAAACACTAAAAACACATTGTATTTAATTAAGCACCAATTCAAAACATGAATTCAATACAAGTTAAAAGTGAAGTAAAACAATTAGATGACATTTAGTTAAGAACTTTTTTACGTGTAAGAATATTTTGAGAACAAATTATAATTAGAACATATAGAATATGTGTAATCTAAAATCAGTTAAATTGTGTTTAAGTCTTACAAGCAACAAATGATGATAAAGCACAAACTACGCATTGAAATTGTCTAAACACAAGTTCAAGTTGATTTCAAACATAAAACAAGTTCTATTTATTAAAACATCAATTCCAAAGTATATGCAACTGAATTGAAAGCAATTTGACATAGTTTACCTATAATTGAAACACAAAAAGCTTACCAGCACCTGCAACTGTATATATTTTTGAATGAAAACTACCATTAAAAAAGCAAGTCCAATTGAATTGAATACTAACTAAAATTATGTTAAATTTGCTCAACGCAAGTTGAACACATTTAAACCAGCAAATTATGGAAGTAAAAAGAAATTCTACATAGAAACATGAATTGAACAAATTAAGAGTAAATTAACACAAATAAACAATACATGTATATACATAAAATTGAATTAACCACATCTTGATACATAATGGTTGATTCTATTTGAGAACGTATTAAAACATTATCGTTTTGTTTAAAGATGGTTTTAAAAAAGAGTTGATTTTAAAGCAACATGCAACAAACAACTGCCGTTTAACTAATAATCAGTTAGGGATAAAATAGCTTAACAACTGCCGTTTACAAACACAATTATACAAATAAAAACGTATATTTAAGTGAAAACCGCTTAGACTGATGTATTGTTTAAAACTGTTACAAAGTTGCAAATAAACTAAAACCAAAAACTATGTTTAAGTAAGGTTCAACCCAACCAAAGAAAACTATTTACAAGCAACTGAAAATATTTTCAATACATAAACACACATAGGTATATATTAGGATTCGTTTTGGTGTTCAAAGACATTGTTGTGTTCAAAACGTATTGTAGAAACCTCAAACCCTAATTTCATTTTAAAGGCTTTCTGCTGGATCTCGGGGAATGATCACTTCTATATGAAAAACCTTGATGTAAAAACTTTTGTCCAAAAAACTGTTTTTTTCTGGATCTCTGGGAATGATCATATGTATATGAAAATTGGGAATGCAAACAAATTGACACATCATTGGTTTTGTGCAGTTTTGGTATTTCTGTTATTTTGGTTTTGCTTACGGAAAACCCAAAGTTCCCAACATACCAAAACTGCACAGACTGTCTCCAGAGTGGCTGAGGTCAAGTCGTCCGTGCAGTTTTGGTTTTGTAAGGACAAAAATACCAAAACTGTTTTGAATGTATGTATGCTAGGTATTAAGAACAATCACCAAACTACAATAGCCAGCAGATAGAAAATCAGCACGAAACACTGTAAAACACAGTGTTTTCACACAAAAGGTAGATACAGAGGGGTACTATATGTATATATTATTCTTTATTTTCGGGGGGGAACATTCTGTGTTTGACCGACATCCTGGGATGAGACTTGAATCAACTACGTACGGTAGAGTTGCGATTTGTTTGACGCATTTGATGCCAAAGACCTTAAAACCAAGTGCCTATTGACTGCCACGATCCCGCCAGTCGGAAACTGTTTGCCCCAGGGATTCCAGGGATGCGCAGCTTATGATTCCAGCTGCTTTCGGATGCTGTTTGTAGCTGTCGACCTGGCACAAACTCACATGACGTTGCTTCCAGGGTGCCTTCATCTCGGTCAGGAGGCTTTAGAAACGATTGAGGGCCTCATGCATTTTGACACGGCCTCATGCAGGAATAATCGCAGTGTCCAGTCCGGAACGTGGCGTCAATTTTCAGACACATTCCGGATCGTGGAAGTTGCGTCAGGCATATGACATGGATTGCGAGACAGCCTCAGAATGTATGAGAGAGAGAGAGAGTTGATTGTTGGGAAGGCGGTGACATGATGAGAACCAGTATACTGGGCCTTGTGTGTGTGTGTGTGTTTTTCTTTTTTTAGAAGAAGGCATTGGTCAAGTTCAGGACACAAGCCTAATGCATGCTATATTGATATGTTCATCATGCGGCACGTGTTCAATTCCACTTATTGGATTTGTTGAGCCTGCAGGAGGGTTTGACAGTCCATATCCATTTCACAAAGAAGGCTCATGTAGTCACAATGTAGTCTTGTTGCATATTTGCATATTGCTATTGTTTCACCTACTTGCCGTCCTTTCACATACTCAGAAAGACGCTGCACTCTATAGGAATATATATAATCGAAAGGAAGACTTCGGACTGTGCACAGGTGCGCGGACAGAGATTTCCAGATGACACTAGGAATTGGTTCTAATTCAATGCGAGAGCAGCAGTTCAGCCCTTTCTCCGCCAAACGAGGCACCAGCGTTGGTGAAGATTGCCACTGAGGTGATGGAAGCGGAACAACAGTGATGCAGGGACAACAATTAGTTGGAACTAGAATGAACCAAACACATATTGCACGAATGGACCTCCTCCAACGAACAGGGGCAATACATCATATATCAGTCTATTAAGTACAATTATCGTGTTTGCATTGTGCTTTCGTTCCCTGGAAAGCCCTCTCCCTCTTTGGCAGTTTTGATGCTTAGTGACTGCAGGTGGATTGAGGGATCGCAAGCGGATTGCACGTCAGGCTGGCCAGTCCGTCCCAGACTGGCTCGAGAAGGTGGCTCGGGCTCGTGTGGGAGAACCCCCCGGAGGGTTGCAATCACACTACTAGCGTGGCACTTGTTACTACTAGCTTCTTGTTACTACTAGTAAGGCACCTGTTACTAGTAGCGTGGCACTTGTTACTAATAGCTTTTTAAGTACTGGAAGGAATTTGAGGGGTTTCTGTGCCACGAACGGCTGATGGCATCCGATGGCCCTGCCATGACTGAAGTCGGTGATTGCCATGGCTTCAGGTCGTTTTCGGGCGTTTGGAGTTGCAACGCAGGTCTAAGGCTTTCAAAGCTTCGTTCACAAAGCTCTAGCACACTCCAATTCGACTCGCTGGACCGACTCTGTTCGTAGGCATGATTAGGCGTGCTCTTCTTTGAACACGGATGCAACTTCGGAGCGTTTCCAGCATGACATTAATGAGTCCCATGACAAACTCAGCGTTCGAGTTTCGGAAAAACGTTGGGCAGCCGAAAAAGGGCGATTTTGGACTTCATGGATGTCAGAATGTTTGTTCATTGCACTTCAACACAGATTCAACACATTCTTTAAACAAAAACGCTTGTTGGGAATGACTCCGGTCGATGGCTGAGATGCCCAGATGACCACGACATCCACTGGGAACTGATGATAAAAAGCAGTTGGTGCGACCCTGGTTTTTTTCAATGGCATATTTCAGTGTTCGATCGGAATCTGCCCTGGTCCCCTGGGTCTTCCACCTGGCCAACCAGGGCGGGGCGGGTTTGTCCAGCCAGGCTGCTCAGAAGCAAAAACAAGCGAAGAACAAAGCGTGGAGATACTAAAGGACGAGAAGGTCGAGTCTTGAGTGGTTTTCCAGCACTTTGATGGGTGCTTCATGCAAATCTCCGATGTCCAAGCGCCCCAGACATGGGACCTAAACATTGTACACCCAAGAATCTCCTTGTGAGTATTCCAGGTAGATGCGCTAGATTGTTCTATTCATGCTGGTGACCATTATGGAATTTTAATGAATTTTGAACGGCTGTCACATGTGGATATGGACACTCCAACCAGGGACGTCTTGACCAAATCTAGTGGGGTGTCCAGAATGTTTGCTAGTCTTCGGAGATTTCACTATCGCACATGATGGAGCGCAGATCCGCACGCCCATCCTTTCAAAGAAGGAAGCAAGCGACGTGCCAGTCTGCCCTGGGATCAAAAAGAATTGTGGGCTTGCTCCTCTATATAGGTCAAACAGGTGATCTTCCTTCATTGCACCTTTCCTAAGGGGGTTACCACTTCAGTCCTGCAACCTTGTCAAGACTGATCTCGATTGGACAAAGGTGACCAGCTTACATACGGAGTCTTGCAGAAGATTTGCAGAGCGCGCTCTTTTGTGGTCCTACATGGGCAAGGCGTTTCATGGATTCTCCCACCTGATTCTTCAATTGCAGCTTTGCTTCTTGTCATAGCCACTTTAGGCCACAAAAATCCATCAAATGCACAGCATGACCCCGTGACCCAAGGGCTGGATGTCCATCTATTTGTGGATCTACATCATGGCGTCCCTCACGTTCCTCACGCTGGAGATGAGATGATTCAAGTCCGTCCAAAGGTCGCGACGAACGAACATCTCCAAAGGTCGCTGGTCGCGCTTTTTGTTGCGCACAACACATACATTGTGCTTGGATGTGTTTATCATCCATGGTGCATGGTTGCTGATGGCTCAAGAATGTTCAAGAGGAGTGGTGCGGAATCCAGACAGAGCAGAAGGTAGTGCCAAGGGTTCTCATTTCACCAAGTGGTGTGCTGGCAACTAGGGCAAGGCAGAACATGTTGTTTTGCTAGCGATGACACATCAAAAGAGCCTCAAATCACTTCAAGGACTGAAAACACTTCAAGGACTGAAATGTCGTTGCTCGGCAACACTTGTTTTTTATTAGACAGATTTCCTTCACTCGCGTCGCCCTCTTGTGGCCGAAGGCGGGCTGCCGGAGCCAGTTGGGCGGTTGGAAGTTGTATGAGATGATGCGGCAAACTTGATGTTTCTTTTGGATGCCACGGGCCATGGGAACTGGTGAAAAACCATTACATGGTGTTTCATTTTAAGCCGTGGAGGAAGGAGCGTGTCATGTGAACCACATGGCGAGATTTCTGTGTCCAGGCACTGACACGGTGATGATTTTAGACAGCAGTGAAGAGGAGGACGAGCAAGAGGCCGAAGAGGAGGAGAGAAATTCTTCCAGACACGAACTCTTCCAGGTTGGAGGCCATCGCTACTACGTAGGGTGGAGGCCAGGTTGGAGGCCATCACTCTTAGGTTGGAGGCCATCACTCTTTGGTTGGAGGCCATCGCTCTTCACGAAAGGTAGCCCTTTAGGGGATACCTTGAGTTTGTCTTGCGAAGCAAGTGTCGGCAAGTCCGGGTCGAATAATTGATTGCTCAATTCAACCCCCCCCCCCTTGGAATTGATTTCTCAATACAGACCCCCCCGGCCCCCCGGGGAATTGATTTTTCAATACCGACCCCCCCCCCTCTAAATTCAATTCTCTCCTGGAGAACGTCTTCGTGAGCCTCTCATGATTTCAGGATAGTTGAAACCCTCTTGAACATTCAGAAAGAGTGCATATGAAATTCTAATCACGAAAGGTGTTCCCCGAGGGGATACATACCTAGAGTTTTTTTTTTTTGTGAAGCACGTCAATTCTCTCCTGGGGACCGTCTTAGCCTCTTGTGGTTTCAGGATAGTTTAAATCCTGTGATGCTCTGATTTAATGCTCACCGATGATCTGAGCCATGGGGCAAGTTTGTTTTCCTAAGAATCTTTGTGAACATTTCGAGAGCATATGTTTGAACATTTAGAATTTAGAATGCATATGAAATTATACTTACGGAAGGTCGCCTCCGAGGGGATAAATCACCATGTCGAACATTGCATTTTTGTTCCTGCCTCTCGCGTTCTCTTCTCTTCCCGCTGTCCTACCTTTCGTGTCTCCCTCCTCTCAAGTAGGTTGGAGGCCATCGCTCTTAGGTTGGAGGCCATCGCTACTAGGGTGGAGGCCATCGCTCTTAGGTTGCAGGCCTTCGCTCTTAGGTTGGAGGCCATCGCTCTTAGGGTGGAGGCCATGGCTAGGCCATCGCTCTTAGGGTGGAAGCCATTGCTTTTAGGTTGGAGGCCATCGCTACTAGGGTGGAGGCCATCGCTACTAGGGTGAAGGCCATCGCTCTTAGGTTGGAGGCCTTCGCTCTTAGGTTGGAAACCATCGCTCTTAGGGTGGAGGCCATCGCTACTTGGAGGCCATCGCTCTTAGGTTGGAGGCCATCCCTTTTAGGTTGGAGGCCATCGCTCTTAGGTTGGAGGCCATCGCTCTTAGGGTGGAGGCCATCGCTACTAGGGTGGAGGCCAGGTTGGAGGCCATCACTCTAAGGTTGGAGGCCATCGCTCTTTGGTTGGAGGCGATCGCTCTTAGGTTGGAGGTCACCGCTACAAGGGTGGAGGCCATCGCTATTAGGTTGGAGGCCGTTGGAGGCCATGCTCCTAGGTTGGAAGCCATCGCTCTTAGGGTGGAGGCCATCGCTACTTGGAGGCCATCGCTTTTAGGTTGGAGGCCATCGCTCCTAGGGTGGAGGCCATCGCTACTAGGGTGGAGGCCAGGTTGGAGGCCATCACTCTAAGGTTGGAGTCCATCGCTCTTTGGTTGGAGGCCATCGCTCTTAGGTTGGAGGTCATCGCTACAAGGGTGGAGGCCATCGCTATTAGGTTGGAGGCTGTTGGAGGCCATGCTCTTAGGGTGGAGGCCACCGCTACTAGGGTGGAGGCCATCGCTCTTGGAGGCCATCGCTCTTTGGTTGGAGGCCATCGCTACCACGTAGGGTGGAGGCCAGGTTGGAGGCCATCACTCTTAGGTGACATCGCTACAATGGTGGAGGCCATCGCTATTAGGTTGGAGGCCGCTTGAGGCCATCGCTCTTAGGGTGGAGGCCATCGCTACTCGGGTGGAGGCCAGGTTGGAGGCCATCGCTACTAGAATGGAGGCCATCGCTCTTGCTCTTAGGTTGGAGGCCATCGCTCTTAGGGTGGAGGCCATTGCTCTTAGGGTGGAGGCCATCGCACTTAGGGTGGAGTCCATCGCTCTTAGGGTGGAGGCCATCGCTCTTACGGTGTAGGCCATCGCTACAAGGGTGGAGGCCATCGCTCTT